TAAAATGTGACAAAACGTCTTGTATTTGATTTTATCCATTTAGAAAAAGTAATAATGTCCAAACAGAGTTGGAACGACGCCTTGGATGCTGTCTTTGGTTAATACTACCAGAAAATCATGAGTTTAGATATCTAAATTGAAGGTTGCTAAGGACTATTGAGTGAAATTTCTTCTGAAAATGTCCCAAGAGTTTGAAGTCCATTTTCTCATTTTGGCGTTTTTCCCATTTCGAAACATTCGCAAACTTCAAAATATCACAAAATTCTTATCCCTGGTCCGAATTTAAAAAAAGTTACATTTTTGGAAAGCTCAGACTGTAGAATATGCAAAAAAATGCTATCAACTCAATTCCATAAAAATGACCAAGAGCCTGGTTTTGGTGGAGCTGCTCACAGTTAATAACTGATTCAATTGTTTTTTTCAGACAACTAGTATCATTATGTATAGCATTCGTCGTAAAACTAATTCGGAGAGATTTTGATTTAACAGTTTTTACGTATTTTTGAAACAGGTTCCGAAGCGTTTGGGTTCTGTTATGCAATATCATTTTCGACGTTCCATAGTAAAAGTTGGGTGCTAAGACTCCTAACGATAAATTTTAAATGTTCCTATTATTAATTAGAACAGGTTTTGCTTTAGTTGACATTTTATTGCTTTAAATCTTCCTAGTGCAAAAACGGCAAATTTCACCTTTTGACCTCCAGAGTCACAAAGACTAAAGGTGAATTTAGCAAGTTTACATTTTTATTGAAAGTGGGATTACTTTCGATCATTTCCAGCTTCTTTTCATAATACAAGAATGACTGCGCATTCACTTTCAGTACAAATGAACTCATTTGACCTTTGACCCCGAATATCTCGAAAACACCCCAACGACGGACTAATTACCACTCAGCATCGTAATTCTACGCAAAATTTTACTCTAGAAAAGTTGGGTCTGGTTTTGTGCCCATTTGATGGACCCCCCTCCCCAGTCTATAGAGTATCCACATGATTTCTTAAAGAGGCAGTAATTATCGGAAATCATTGAAAATCAATCGGCTTCTTCGTCACATGACCTTAAACAATGTGTATTCTTCATCTCATGATGGCCGAATGGTTAGCATGTGCGTGCTGCATCATAACGTCTGTCATTGAGTCAACTGGCGTGGTTTCGAATCCCTGGTTGTACGTGGCAAGGAGTAGGGTCGCCTGTCCTCCGGTTTCCTTCCACTGCTAAAGACCCACCCCTACATTATTGAAATAGAATTGAACCATGTGTTAGTCCCGAAATGACCTAGTTTGTGTCGAGTGGATGTCAAACCCCATTTCTCTCTTTCTCTCTCTCTCATCTCATGACCTTAAGTCAATACATTTTTCAGCAGAAGAAGTCCGGCATTCGTTTTATACTCAGTTTCGACTTATATACAGAAGGTAAAAAGATAGGTTGCCAGGCAACAAAACATATGCCCACAGTAGCTAAATCGTCTGAGCAGTCGTCAAGGGTTGTCACATATTTATTCTTTTGTAAGTAATTAGGGGAATTTAATAGACAATTTCATACAGATGACATTATAATTTTCGTCGTTTGAGGGTTCACAAGGTTCTAAAGATAGGTTGCCAGGCAACAAAACATACACCCACAGCCTTTACAAGACAGTTCCATACAGATCAGATTATAAATTTTGTCGTTTACAAGGTTCTACAAACTGAAACAAGCGTCTCAACTCTGGAAGTAATCTACTGAAATTGTTGAAATTCAACAGGCTTTTTCGTTTTACTAATTCAAATAATGCATATAAATTTCATACAGATCGGATAAGTGAGACAAGGGCCATAACTCATGGCGTAATTAACGGAAATTGCTGAAATTCAATGGGCTTCTTCATTTCACTAATTTAAATGATGCATATCAATTTCAAACAGATCGGATGATAACTGTTGTTATTAGAGCGTTCACAAGGATCAATAAAGTGAAACAAGGGCCATAAATCTAGACGTAATAAACGGAAATTTCTGAAATTCAATAGGCTTCTTCGTTTCACTAATCTCAATAATGCACATACATTTCACAAAGATTGGGTGATAACTTTTGGCGTTGGAGCGTTCACAAGGTTCAATAAAGTGAAACAAGGGCCATAACTCTAGACGTAATAAACGGAAATTGCTGAAATTCAATAGGCTTTTTCGTCTCACTAATTTAAATAATGCATATAATTTTCAGAAAGATCGAATGATAACTTTTGACGTTAGAGTGTTCACAAGGATTAATAAAGTGAAACAAGGGCCATAACTCAAGATGTAATAAACGGAAATTGCTGAAATTCAATAGGCTTCTTCGTTTCACTAATTTAAATCATGCATATAAATTTCATAAAGATTGGGTGATAACTTTTGGCGTTAACAGCGTTCACAAGGTGCAATAAAGTGAAACAAGGGCCATAACTCTAGATGTAGTAAACAGAAATTGCTGAAATACAATAGGCTTCTTCGTTTCACTAATTTAAATAACGCATATAAATTTCACAAAGATCGAATGATAACTTTTGGAGTTAGAGCGTTCACAAGGTTCAATTAAGTGAAACAAGGGCCATAACTCTAGACGTAATAAACAGAAATTGTTGAAATTCAATAGGATTCTTCGTTTCACTAACTTAAATATTGCATATAAATTTCACAAAGATCGTATGTTAACTTTTGCCATTAGAGCGTTCACAAGGTTCAACAAAGTGAAACAAGGGCCATAACTCTAGACATAATAAACAGAAATTATTGAAATTAAATATGCTTCTTCATCTCACTAATGTAAACAACATATATCAATTTTAAAACAATTGGATGATAACTTTTGGCGTTAGAGCGTTCACAAGAAATTGTGGACGATGGACCAACGGACGGACGGGGGCGGCGGCAATATACGTCCACATTTCAATGTGGGCGTATAAAAACTAAAACAAGGGCCGTAACTCTGGAAATAATCTACAGAAATTTTTCGAAATTGACAGGCTTTTTCGTTTTACTAATTCAAATAATGCATATAAATTTCATACAGATCGGATGATAACTTTTGTCGTTCGAACGTTCACAAAGTTCAACAAAGTAAATCATGGGCCATAACGGAAATTTGCTGAAACTCAATAGGCTTGTTCGTTTTACTAATTTGAATGATACATATAAATTTCATACAGATCGGATAATAACTTACAAGGTACAACAAAGTACAACAAAGTGAAACAAGGGCCATAACTCACGGCGTAATTAACAGAAATTGCTGAAATTCAATAGGATTCTTCGCTTCACTAATATAAAGGATGCATATCAATTTCAAACAGATTGGATGATAACTGTGGTCATTAGAGCGTTCACAAGATTCAACAAAGTGGAACAAGGGCCATAACTCTAGATATAATTAACGGAAATTGCTGAAATTCAATAGGCTTCTTTGTTTTACTAATTAAAATGATGCATATAAATTTCATACAGATCGGTTGATAACTTTTGTCATTAGAGCGTTCACAAGATTCAACAAAGTGAAACAAGGGCCATAACTCTAGATGTAATTAACGGAAATTGCTGAAATTCAATAGGCTTCTTTGTTTTACTAATTTAAATGATGCATATAAATTTCATGCAGATCGGTTGATAACTCTTGTCGTTCACAAGGTGCAGCAAAGTGAAAGAAGGGCCATAACTCCAGAAGAAATTAACGGAAGTTATTGAAATTAAATAGGCTTCTTCATCTCACTAATGCAAACAATATATATCAATTTCAAAACAATCAGATGATAATTGTAGTCTGTAGAGTTTTCACAAGAAATTGTGGACGATGGACGGACAGACCGACCAACGGACGGGGGCGGAGGCGACAGCAATATACGACCACATTTCCATGTGGGCGTATAAAATGACAACAAACGAGTGACACCAACTGCTAAATAATTGCATTTGACTCGAGCATGCGCTGTCGTCTAAAACATTTAACTACTTTCATTATTCCAAAAACATAAACCCATTCAAAATAATATGATAATAAATCTGAGAATTGAGAATATGCCATCAAAATAGAATCTTTTCCTCGACATCAGATGTATGAGATTCGGCACGTTTACATCTCTTAATTTCACGTGTCTCGCGAGATTTCTACTTTCATTTCAGTTATTGTACTATAACCACCCTGTGTGTGTGTGAAATATCACAGACAAATTATGGGATACAATGTATATTGATTTGGGGTAGTGACTGATTTGGGGTGTTATATACTATTAGGATATGTGACATATACGGGTTGTCGGCGACTGACATCAAGGAGATTGAAATGTCCGACAATGGAGAAATCATGGGTTAATCATGTAGATTAAGTTTATAATCACTCTTATTGAATTAATATAATCCGACAAAGGAGAAGCAATGACTTCTGTTCAGGATTGGATTGATGAATTGTCCGACAAAGGATTAAGTCAGCCAATCAAGGCAGATTAAGTAGTTAATCAAGGTAGGTGTATGGACAGTATAACATGATAAATACGTTGATCACTTAATTACGTAATCAATCCAGCCTATTATCAACGATAATCAGGTTGAGTGATAGTTATACACTCAGTACACTATATTAATTTTGGAATTTTGAATATTATTCACCATGTCTTGATGTCTGATTGGGTATATTCCTGGTCGGACAATTTAGGACGTTTGGAAAATAGCGTTGGACATGTCTGGAATATACCGGCGAAATCCCATCACTGCCTTCAACACAGTGTATAAATACAATCGGATATTAACTTTGGCCTCTAAATTCTTCACAAGCAATTGTGGATGCCGGACCGCCAGATGGACGGGTGCAACGACAATATACGACCACATTTCAATGTGAGCATATAAAAAATTTAGTCTATATATCAATGTATTCAGTGTATCAATGCAATTCTTTTTTTGTTAAGTTTCATCTTTAACTGTTTTTTTAGGTTTTACAAAATGAGGCAATATCAAGACTAAATTACAGTCCAAACAAAAAATATGTTTACCTGCAGATAAATGTCCATAGGAGCCACTAGCCGCACTGGAACTACGGGAATTGTGAGTGGGAAATGGAGTCAGCTGTAATGACCCCTCGGAACTACGAGTCAAACTTTGTATATCAAGATAATCAGAGATTGGTGAATGAGATAAAGCTCGTTTCCGACTGTTTTTTGCTCCTCCTCCAATGCTCGGTCTGGGACTTGCATACCTTGAACCTAAGCCAAAACACACAAATAAAAACATATTCATTTTAATGCTACAAAAGTTTTTTATGATGTTCATAACATGTGAAAAAGTTTGGGCCAGCTGTTGATTGTTTTCAGTAATATCAATATAGAATTCTGAATCTTGTTTAATTACAACAATAATTTATGTAATGAAAACTATAATATGGCTAAGACTGGATTATATCCAAGTCAAACTAATACACATGTCCTGATATTCTACCCTAATGTACTAACTTAGCTCAGAAGCATACCTTGTTGGCAAATGCCTGGTAGCCAAAAGTTATTTCTTCAAACAATCACTTTGTGCGGGATTTGAAGGAACATTACCCTTATTCCTTTATAACATGGTTAATATGCCCACTTTGATGTTGTTATATTGATAAGAAAGGTTGATATTTGTATGAATTGTAATTCGTTCGGTTCAGATTTATAAACTATAAGGGACTTAGTTTCTAGAGAACTTGGCAACGTTATACTACCATTACCTGGTGTAGGGGATATATTAGATTTATAAACTATTAAGATACTTACTTTCTAGAGAACCTGGTAACGTTATACTACCACTACCTGGTGTAGGGGGTATATGATCAGATAATAAACTTCTAGATGGAGGAGGAGGAGGATAATCACTTATTAGAGATCCAGGTCCAGTCTGGGGTAAACCTAATATATAGACAATATAAACAATTCATTAATACAGGCTGTCAACAAACCTACTTATTCTTATCTTAAAAAGCACATAAAATGACCATATAAATGAAGCCAGTATGATTATATACATCAACACCAATTTCATTCAAATTCATTGATAAATAATTGAGACATCTTCATTCTTCACCTAAGTCGCAAATATAGACCTGCCTTAAAACCTATTTTGCCAGTTAGCTAAAACATTTTCCCAAACGCCAGTGACCAAATGCTTATTAGGAGTGTGAATTCCTCTACAGCTATATAACCGGTACACAAACTGTGTACTCGTTAATGTCTGACTGATTAATCGCCCTTCGTAATAATACTATTTAAGCCTTGTAACTTGTACTGTCCACACATGAAACAATGCTACATCAAGTTGCACTAATGCACATCGGTCAGAGGCGGATTCAAGGGGGGGGGGGGGCGCGAGGGGCGCGCGCCCCCCTAATTTTCGACAGTGCCCTTTTTTACAGCTGAAAGTGCCTTTTCGCAGACCCAAATATGTCCGTTCCCAACCCGTTGCAGGGATCCCAAATGACTCAAACCATCGATTCAAACACACCAGTCTGGTATAATTAATGCTTCCACTTTCAAACGAATTCTTGTTGTTTAGCTGACGGTGCCCTAATCCTATAGAGTGACTATAGACAGACATCTTGTGGAATCGGCAGCGTATACACTCATGTCCATCACCGACGCGCATAAGTGCAACTTGATGTAGCATTGTTTCATGTGTGGACAGTACAAAGTACAAGTTACAAGGCTTAAATAGTGAAGTGGCTAGGGAATAGATTCGTCTTTTTTCCCCATCATAATGCCTCGCTCGCCCTTGACAATTTTCGAGCCGCATGTTCAACTGGCTTTTTTGCTCGATTTTAAGGCCCTTTTTCAACGATTTCCGAACGTTTACTTAGACGAAAATATCAGCCAAATAGCTCTTGGAATGGCTACAGATGCAAGGAAATGACGGATAATTTTCTTGGGGCCCCCCCCAAAAAAATCCCCTCTCAGCGGCATGCCCCGTCTCCGCGGTCAGTGCCCTCATTTTGCTGTATAGTAGTATATGCCGCCGATTCCACAAGATGCTAACATTGATGTCTGTCTATAGTCACTCTATAGGATTAGGGCACCGTCAGCTAAACAACAAGAATTTGTTTGAAAATGGAAGCATTAATTTGACCAGACTGGTGTGTTTGAGTTGATGGTTTGAGTCATTTGGGATCCCAGCACATCAGTATAATAATTGCAACGAATATTCGATTATTTACAGAAAATTAAAATATTTACGCAGTTATCTCCCTTTACAATCGACAAATAGATATTAGATTGCTACTCAGATTAATCATCTTGTTGGGCTTTGCAGTTTGTTTCCAAGACAAAAAAGAGTTTTAAAAGAAGTTAACAAAGATTTAAAAATGCATTAAAATAAAATCAGTTTATAAAATAAACAGCCAAACATCCGAATAAAATAATATTTTAGAGGTTGATTTAAAAATGTTCATTTAACGGTCTCGTGGCCTACTCAAAAGTATTCTTCTACTATAATTATTTCTTCATCTTGGTGATTTTAGTATTATAACACGCTGTTTACTAGTGCACGCGTTCCTGTAAAAAAATCATTTGGGTATAATATGTCAGGAAAGCACACGAATTCATCTTTATATCTGTCTTTTAATGACTTATTATAACCCAAATAATAACCGAATACTACCAAATAATTATCAAATACTACACAATATTATAAAATACAAACCTAATATCGTCAATTAGCAGCACATCAGTATAATAATTGCAATGAATATTCGATAATTTACAGAAAATTAAAATATTTACGCAGTTATCTCCCGTTACAATCAACAAATAGATATTAGATTGCTACTTAGATTAATCATCAATTTATGGGTTGTAAAGGGAGTTAACTGGGTAAACATTTCAATTTTCTGCAAAATATCGAATATTCGTTGCAATAATTATACTAATATGCTGTTATTTGACAATATTAGGTTGTTATTTGATCATATTGGGTAGTATTTGATGAGTATTTGGTAGTATTAGGTTATTATAGGCTTGTTTGGGGTGGTATGGAACAGCCAGACATGGGTATCGCATTTGAAGTACATTTCCCGCGATATAACTCTCTATTTTTGAAAAAAATTAAATGATATATCTATTTTGCATCATTATGTTGTAATATTGGGTAGTATGTGGTGATATGAAGGTGGTATTGGGTAGTATTGGGTAAATCGTCCCACCCGTTTTTTTCTGCCACTTATCGCATCGTATTTAGGTACCCAAAAACATTATTGCCAAAATCAAATCTCTATCGGCCGTTTGAGCCTTGAGCCAGTCACATAACCACAATGCTTTGCACACAGTGTCTGTGCCAATCAGCAAATGAGTTGAGAAGACAGCATAGCAACAAGCGGAGTTTTTTAAACATTTTTTAGGAGTTTTAAAACTCGATTGTATTCCTTCAAATTAAATTCATCAGAAATACTTTGGTCATATTTGTAAACTAAAGATTCTCTGCTTTACAACGATGCCAAGTATTATGCAAGAGAATTGACCGGTCGTCCCGCTGCGAGTGCAGAGAAATAACTAATGTCGCTGAGAATTTTAAGAAAAAGGACAGATTTAAGAATATGGTACTCTTACAAAACGTTCAAATAAAGATGTTTTAAAATCTTTTATTGCTATTTTGATCTTTTTTGTCGATAGATAGTATATTTATAGACTTATTTTAGTGAAAATCTCAATTTTGATCGAAATCAATATTTTCACTTATTTTGTTTGTAGCTCATAATTAGATTTTGCACATACTGACTCATTTTTTCATAACAGGTCACATATTGTCAGTGTGAATATAAACTTTGATACAAAATTGGGTAATTTGCTTTAGGTAAAATCAATGGGAATAAAACATAATAATCGTCTGAAAATTCAATCATGTTTTCAAAATGAAATATACTTACCTGGTACACCGGCCGGACTGAACCTTCTGCTTGGATATGAATTGCCGTAGTAAATATTTCGATGTAAATGTTCCAACTGTATGCGTGAAGCAAGTTGCATAACAGGCTCTCCAGAACCAAATCCACTCCGCATACTCAGTAATGAGACATCTGACTGGGAAGGACTCGGAGGCAACCTATTTCATAAATTAAACAAAAGAAATAGCTTTTATAAACTAATAGGTTGCCAGGCAATGAAACATACGCCCACAGCAGCTAAATCAGCAGCTAAGTCGTCTGGTCAGTTATGAATGAAAACATTTACAACACACTAAAATCTGATTACAAGTAACAACCCATTAAGTAATTATCTGAAATCATTAGAATTTGTTTCAATTGTTGTCTCATGACCTTAAACACTTATCAATTTATATTAAAATTAAAGAATCCCCGCACAACAGAATTCACAAAAGACTTGTATAAGTTGAAGATTATTTAATGGATCAACGTTTCGGGTGCAATACCCTTTATCAAAATTGATTTATAGTAATCCTGTGACACCTTATATACAATAAATGTGGTGACGTCACAGGATCGGCAGATAACTTTTGATGTTAGAGCATTCAATACAGTGAAACAAGGGCCATAACTCTAGACATAATAAACAGAAATTGCTGAAATTTAATACGCTTCTTTGTTTCACTGATTCAAATAATGCATATAAATTTCAGAAAGATCGGATGATAACTTTTGGCATTAGCACGTTCACAAGGTTCAATAAAGTGAAATAAGGGCCATAACTCTAGACGTAACACACAGAAAATGCTGAAATTCAATAGGCTTCTTCGTTTCACTAATTTAAATAATGCATATAAATTTCAGAAACATAGGATGATAACTTTTGGGGTTAGAGCATTCACAAGGTTAAACAAAGTGAAACAAGGGCCATAACTCTAGAAGTAATAAACAGAAATTGCTGAAATTCAATAGGAATCTTCATTTTCCTAATTTGATTATTGCATAGAAATTTTACAAAGATCGGATGTTAACTTTTGGCATTAGAGCGTTCACAAGGTTCAACAAAGTGAAACAAGTGCCATAACTCTAGACATAATAAACAGAAATTATTGAAATTAAATAGGCTTCTTTGCTTCACTAATTTAAATAATGCATATAAATTTCAGAAAGTTAGGATGATAACTTTTCGGGTTTGAGCGTTCACAAGGTTAAACAAAGAGAAACAAGGGCCATAACTCTAGAAGTAATAAACGGAAATTGCTGAAATTCAATAGGCTTCTTCGCTTTACTAATTTAAATAATGCATATAAATTTCAAAAAGATAGGATGATAACTTTTGGGGTTAGAGCGTTCACAAGGTTAAACAAAGTAAAACAAGGGTGATAACTCTAGAAGTAATAAACGGAAATTGCTGAAATTGAATAGGCTTCTTCGTTTCCCTAATTCAAATATTGCATATAAATTTCACAAAGATCGGATGTTAACTTTTGGCATTAGTGTGTTCACAAGGTTCAACAAAGTGAAACAAGGGCCATAACTCTAGACGTTATAAACAGAAATTATTGAAATTAAATAGCCTTCTTCATCTCACTAATGTTAACAACATATATCAATTTTAACTTTTGGCGTTAGAGCGTTGACAAGAAATTGTGGACGATGGACGGACCAACCGACGGACGGACGGACGGGGGGCGACGGCAATATATACGTCCACATTTCTACACTGTGTATAATTTTAAAGTCAATCAGTTGTGGGCCGCTCCACCAAAACCAGGCGCTTGTCGCACGATGTCATTATGTGCTACAGGCACAAAAGCATTTTTAACAATGGATTTGGGTCAGAATGTCGATTTTGAGATTAAGGTTGAAACATCAAAAAATACAAAAGAACTTTGTGATTTGAGAAGGATTTTGCCGATCAGAAAACTGGAAATGTTGTTTTGGGGGAATTTTATGAGCCTACCTGATTAAAGATAGGTTGCCAGGCAACTAAACATACGCCCACAGCAGCTAAATCGTCCGGGCAGTCAACAAGTGTTGTCGCATATTTTTACTTTTTTCGGTAATGAAACATTTATAATACACTAAAATATGATTAAGAGTAACAACTCATGAAGTAATTATCAGAAAACCATTAGAATTTATTTGGTTTTTATAAAGTTCTGCCCCATGCTAACATTTAGTACACGAAACTATTAATATCATGGATTTAGCTGTTCAAGTCATAAAAATTCATTGAAAATCAATATACTTGTTCGTCTCAAGATCTTAAACTCTGTGTATCAATCTGAAGTCAATCGGATGGTAACTTTAGCCTCTAGAGCGTCCACAAGTTTTTCAAAGTGATCAAGGACCATAACTTTGGCAGTAATTATCAGAAATCGTTGAAAATCAATAGGATACTTCGACTTATGACCACAAACACTGTAGGCTATAAATTTAAAGTCAATTGGATATTAACCTTAGCCTTTAGAGCACCCTCAAGATATTTTGAAGTGATCAAGGGCCATAACTCTGGCAGTAATTATCGAAAATCACTGAAAATGAATAGAATTTTTCGTCTCATGACCTTAAACACTGTGTATAAATTTAAAGTCAATGGGATATTAACTTTAGCCTATAGAGCGTCCACAAGATTTTTCAAAGTGATCAAGGGCCAAAACTCTGAGAGTAATTATTGGAAATCGCTGAAAATCAATAGCCTTCTTTGTCTCATGACCTTAAACACTGTGTATAAATGTAAAGTCAATCGGATATTAACTTTAGCCTCTAGAGCGTCCATAATATTTTTCAAAGCGATCAAGGGCCAAAACTCTGGCAGTAATTATCGGAAATCGTTGAAAATCAATAGGCTTCTTCGTTTGATGACCTTAAATACTGTGTATATATATAAAGTCAATCGGATATTAACTTTAGCCTCTAGAGCGTCCACAAAATTTTTTTAAGTGATCAAGGGCCATAACTCTGGCAGTAATTATCGGAAATTGTTGAAAATCAATAGTCGTCTTCATCTCTTGACCTTAAAAAATGTGTATAAATTTAAAGTCAATCGGATATTAATTCTGGAGTCTATAGCGTCCACAAGCAATTGTGGATGCAGGACCGCTAGACGGGGTTGACAGCAATTTTATACGACCATATTCCAATGTAGGCAAGCAAGGAGTTTAGAGTTTAGAATACTAGCTGTTTTTAGGACTGCACAATAATTTCAATAAATCAATATATCGCAACATGTAAATTTTATTGACAACAATTTTTTTGATAGTTAAAAATACCCCAAAAATCCAATATATTGTTTGACCCTAGATTATCGCCATTTATTCAATAATATTCTCTGATTTTATTGAAACATCAAATCAGACATACTCAAGAATTCAATACAGTTTTATTAATGCATAAGTTTTGTTTTTAACTAGGGTTGGACAATAATTTCCATTAATAAATATATTACAATATGTACATTTTATTGACAATATCTCTCATAGAAATCTTTTGTAGGGTTTCATTGCCTGGTTTTGAGTCTCCTTGCTAGAATCACTATAATATTGCAATAATGACAATATATTGTGGTTTTTATATCGCTTTAGCAATAATGAAAATTTAAAATATCGTCCAGGCCTAGCAGTTTTTAACAGCTTTCTGGAATGGATTGTACTGTCCATTGAAATTCTAATAAATTGAGCATTTTAAATATGAATTTGTATCAATTCTGTGAATTGAATACAATCTTCAAAAGTCATAGATATATATTTTGCTCCTGAGATAAGAGCATACTAATTTGTTATCTTACCCTGGTAATGGATGATGAAAACTAGATGATGTTGGTGGCCAATTATATCGACCTTCTAATGTCTGAGGATTAAGAGGTAATGGAGCATTTATTGAATGATATGGCACTTGATGTAATGGATATGGAAGACCTGAAATATATTTAAACATTTATATTGATTATTATATTTGATATACATGTATACAACAGTCTCTTATTCAGACAATAAAGTTGTGACTGGTATCATACACAAGGCACTGTATCCGTACCATTCCAGAACACATATTACCACTCTTCATTTACTTGTGAAGTTTATGTAACTAACAATTTGTACTTTTGTATTAAAACAATCCACAAAATTCTTTGGCATTTTTTTACAGCTAGTAGTAGAAAGAAACACAGTACTCTCCATTTTACAAAAACTTGTAATAATTTCTTCAGAACATCTATTTCAACAATTCATCAAGTATTCATTCTAATTTTATAATAATTTGACAAACCTTTTAATATCAATTAATTTTTTTATTCAATAACAATGATGAAGAAAGCAAATTGATAAAAATGTAACATACCATAAGGTGAATCAATGAGACTGTTTCGTGGATCAAGAATACCAGGTGGAAGACCAAAATAAGAGTAACGGGGGTCAGGTGGTAATGGTGGAGGTATAGGTGTGGGTCCGACCCCCCTATCTACAGTTTCTACGTTCGTTCGAGTAAGACTACTTTTGCGACTCAATTCACCTGGAGGTTCTTCGTCTACTCGTGTGATGTGACTACTGGGGGGTCGGCTAACCGTAATCCGACGTAATTTCTGAGCTGCGTCTGTAATGAAAAACATAAAGATATAAATATGTGCATGTAAACCTCTTTGACTTGCGTAAATAATAAAGATTGGTTGCCAGGCAAGTCATCCGGACAGTCAAAAGAGTTGTTGCATATTTGTTCTTTTATAGCTAATGGGAGCATTTACAAGACACAAATATGAGGGCCCAAAAGATTTTTAAAAGTGATCAAGGTACTAACTCTGAAATTAATTAACGGTATCAGCTTTTTTACCTCATGAACATAAACAATGTGTATAAATTCCAAGTCAATCGGTGCAGTGTGTCCTCAAGATTTTTCAAACTGATCATAGATGATAACTCTAACAGTAATCAGTGAAAGTCAGTGGTCATCTTCGTCTCATGTCACTGGAATGATAACTTAAGCCTCTAGAACATCCAAAATGTCCATAAATCTGGTGGTAATTTTCCAAAATTGTGTAAACTCAACAGTTGTTTTCATCTCATGAACTTGAATACATCTTAGTCACTAGAATGACCACAAGTAATTTTAGACATATGAATGAACTGATAAATAAACAGACGGACATGGGGAACAGCAATATCAACAGTTTTTCAAAGTGGGCGTATAAAAATGAAACTTAAATTGCTAAACAAACTGACTTCCGTTTAATCATTCAACATTATATTTTGACCGAAATCAAAGACGTTTAGCAGTCTTTAAGTTTAAGAACTATGACTTTGGGTAAATAAATATTTGTGATGTAATGTTGTCTAGTGCATAAAGTGTGTTTCATGTACATATTAATATCTGTTTTTAACTTTGTCTTCAAAATTTATTTCAATTATAGTCAAACTTTTTCAAAATAATTATAGTCACATCCTAAAATAAACCTTTTAAAAATCTAGATTGGTTGATCGAGTGAAATCTGTAATAATGCTGTTAAAATTTGGACACACTGTTGTTGAGATTTGGCACCTTGTTTTTTATGATACTATTATTATGTTTAGCCTGGGTCTTGTGATCTTTTTGGTATTATAACTGTCATATTCTCACCATCATCACCATCAGTACTAGTTGTACTATCTGGAGTATCAGGTAATACATCTACTCCCATATCTTCCTTCTTATATCAAATATCTATTAACAATTGATTGAGGACTCATACATCAACTTCCATTTGTGTTTTTGTCATTTTCAACATATCATTAAGAACTTGATCCAAATCTCAACTTTATCTTGCCTGTCTGCATGTATGTGCAAACTGTAGAGAAATGGTTAATCAGGGATTGACCAGTATATGAAGAACAGTAGCAGTTCGGTCATTTCATGGATGATCAAATATCACCAAAAGGCTTTTACTATCTGAAGGTGACCAATTGTAATAAACTTTTGTTATCCTGTGTCAGACTCTTTACAAGCTTTCCTGCTCAATAAAAACTGACCTTATTGGTGGTGTGGAGGTGATGTTTTATTTAACAGAACTGTGGTAGATAGAGAGAGGATGTTTTTCTGTCAAAAGCCAAACAGGTCGAGTAGCAAATAAGCAGGAGTGTAGGTGTGAGAATATATGAGGGGATGTGATGTACCAGAAGTGAAGTCAATGTACAGATGTGATTAAATATCAAATAATTACATTTACAGCATACAATTTCTTAACCTCTTTTATTATATTTGAATGATTTCCATCTGGTAAAATAAAATATGTTGGATATTAAAATAGGTTCAATCTGATTCTGTATGTAGGTTACCAGTACATGTCTGAATTCTTACTCACTGTATACAGTATTTATTCAATCATATCCATTGTTGTTGAACATATGTTCTCATATACCTTATTTTGTTCAAAGCCACTTTAATTTTTATCATTAGAATACAAAATAAGTACTTTAATACCTAGAATTTTGGGGGGTTAGCATGTCAATAGGGTCACAGACAGCTAAATTAGATTTGGGGAAGTGAGGGGTGGAGTAGGGATGGGAATTTGGAATGGGATATTGTCTGCATAGTAGCAAACCATAAGGCACCTGGGCGTCTTAGTGGGGTTTTAAGGAGTAAAGCACAAATAAAGTAATTTCCATTGCAAATTATTGAGGGTCACAAGCTCCCACTTCCCCCTTAACTGCATTAAACCATTACATTTTTTATAAAAAAAAATATATACCATGCAGTTCATAGTGTCTTTTAAACATAGGTTTTATTTCTAAATAGCAAGAAAGAGAAAGTCATATTTTAGAATCCATGTAGAACTGTAAAATAACATAAAATATCAAACTGATAAAAATGAGATTAACTATAGTATAGACTAAAAGTCAACAAAAATATCTTACAAACTTTAATAGTACCAAGTGAATTTTACTTTTTACTGGGTCATAATATAAACCTAACCGAGTATAAGCTGTAAAGATCCACCTATTGTTACATACAATGTAAAACTATTTTTCAATGAATGTTTGATAATAACATTATCTCTTATGACCATTCTAAATCATATTATCAAATTCCTTCATCTCTTTCAAACATTTGTCCCCTTATGAGATATGTTGAATTAGTGTTATATTTTACGGTTTAACCTGAATGGATTAGTCAGTGGTGTAGAACGAGAATGATGAGACAAGGTTTAGTGTGATCAGGTATCTGATTGTTGTCTGTCAGTTATTACACCTTTTATCAGATACATGCCTTTATAAACATAACAATATTACAAACAAACAAAAATCTTCTTCTTTACATCTTATATCTCTAACACCTGTTTTATAGATTCCTTAATTAATCCCTCATAAGATATCATAACTTAACACAGACTTCAAAATTACAACATAAGGTATTGCTTTTCATTTTAGGTATCAGAGATGCAGTCAACTTATCGGTCTATATTCATTAATATCTTAAACCAGCGGCTGCCAGGCAGGATACGCCCACATTTTGAAAGAGATGGATAGAGAACAAGCTAAATACTTTTTTGGTAATGAAACATTTATAATACATTAAAATCTGATTAAGAGTAACAACTCATTAAGTAATTATCAGAAAACCATTAGAATTTGTTTGGTTTTTATAAAGTTCTGCCCCATGCTAATGTTTAGTATACGAAACATTTAACATCATGGATTTAGCTGTTCAAGTCATAAAAATTCATTGAAAATCAATATATTTGTTCGTCTCAAGATCTTAAACACTGTGTATCATACTGAAATCAACCGGATGATAACTTTAGCCTCTAGAGCGTCACAAAATTTTTCAAAGTGATCAAGGGTCATAACTCTGGCAGTAATTATCGAAAATCACTGAAAATGAATAGCTTTCTCTGTCTCATGACCTTAAACACTGTGTATAAATGTAAAGTCAATCGGATATTAACTTTGGCCTCTAGAGCATCCACAAGATTTTTCAAAGTGATCAAGAGCCATAACTCTGGCAGTAATTATCGGAAATCGCTAAAAATCAATAGGCTGCTTTGTCTCATGACCTTAAACACTGTATAAATTTAAAGTCAATCAAATATTAACTTTAGCCTCTAGAGCGTCTACAAGATTTTTCAAAGTAATCAAGGGCCATAACTCTAGCAGTAATTATCGGAAATCGCTGAAAATCAATAGGCTTCTTTGTCTCATAACCTTAAACACTGTGTATAAATTTAAAGTCAATCGGATATTAACTTTGACCTCTTGATTTTTTTAAGTTATCAAGGGCCATAACTCTGGCAGTAATTATCGGAAATCGCTGAATTTCAATAGAGTTGACCTTAAACACGGTGTATAAATTTAAATTCAATCGGATATTAACTTTAGCCTCTAGAGCGTCCACAAGATTTTTCAAAGTAATCAAGGGCCATAACTCTAGCAGTAATTATCGGAAATCGCTGAAAATCAATAGGCTTCTTTGTCTCATAACCTTAAACACTGTGTATAAATTTAAAGTCAATCAGATATTAACTTTGACCTCTTGATTTTTTGAAGTTATCAAGGGCCATAACTCTGGCAGTAATTATCGGAAATCACTGAATTTCAATAGGCTTCTTCGTCTCATGACCTTAAACACCGTGTATAAATTTAAATTCAATCGGATATTTACTTTAGCCTCTAGAGCGTCCACAAGCAATTGTGGACGCTGGACAGACGGACGGACAGGGGCGACGACAATATACGACCACATTTCAATGTTGGCGTATAAAAAGGCGATTTTTCGTACAATCAGGGGCCATAATTCAGGAAGTTACGATCTGATATGTGCAAATATCGAAAAGAACCAATATCTTCGGGTTATAAACATGCATTTCAAGTTTCATTAAAATTGGATTAAAATTGTGACCTCTACAGGGTCCACAAACTTGATATACCATATTTTTACACTATTCGCCATTTTGTCCGGCAGTTTTGGTCACATTTTCACGAAATTCAAACTCAACCTTCATTACGGTGTAACAGGGATATATTAATACGTTTTTTTAAATCGGATAAAAATTGTGACCTCTGGAGGGACCACAAGCCAAAAACTTGATTTTTCGTACAATCAGGGGCCATAATTCAGGAAGTTACGATCCGATATGCGCAAATATCGAAAGGAACCAAGATCTTTGGGTTATAAACATGCATTTCAAGTTTCATCAAAATCGGATCAAAATTGTGACCTCTAGTGTGTCCACAAGCTAAAAACGTGATTTTTCGTACAATCAGGGGCTATAATCCATGAAGTTACGGTCAGATACATACCAATATTGAAAGGAACCGAGATCTTAGGGAGTTAAACCTGTATTTCAAGTTTCGTTGAAATCGGATAAAAATTGTGACCTGTAGAGTGTCCACAAACAATTAAATTGTGGACGGACGGACAGACAAACAGGGGCGACGGCATAATACGTCGACATGAAATTGTGGGCGTATAAAAACTTTTTAAAACTTATTCTGCGACAGCTTTGTGTACTAAACGTTAAAAAACCCCATAAATTTGTGTTTATAATATACTAATAAACAGCAAATTTGATCAGATTTTTGGCCAAAGGACGACACGTGAACACAATACAGCAGTAAACTAGTGCC